GTTGTTGTATTTTAAAACACTATTGCAATGTTTTCAACTGACATTATGGCATTTAAAATAAAATGATCCCAAACGTAACTGTGGCGCGTGTGGCTGTGCTGCGCAGTCAGTGAACCGCTTCCATCGGCGCTGCTGCAGCAAAACACACTGTTGCTCACATGAAACATTATCATACGAGTATTATGACCAGTACTTAATTTGATCCTGCTGGATCCTGTTCCGGAAAATGTCAGATTTCAAATTTTTGCTTTCCGGTAGGCCTATTTGTTTTTAAAAATTCTAAATTTACAGTGCATTAGATCATGACAGTGCATGTACGTGCATACGAGACGGAGCGAACGCGGGTTTGGCTACATTTGGAGGTTATTACTCACGTCTCATTCGGCACAAATCCAAATGTTTCCATATTCTCAATGTATTTGAATGTTAAACTATTATTTATAATGTAAACTAGGCTTGTACTTTACACGCATTCGCATATAGACGGAAAAGATCATCCTCTTCACATGAGCAAAAACGTCCTTGGCATAACAGCAGAGTGGACCGGTATACTACGGTCTATTTAAACTGACCAGTGTAACCTTTTATATGTTTGGTTGACTGTATTTAATTTTGATAATGAACAGACTGCGATGTAAGTTTGAAGTGCTAGAATATGTGGGGTGTGTGCGCGCGAGGCGCCGGTGCGATTGAACAGCTGAAACATAAAATATATATATCTCAACACCGCGCCACCGGCGGTAGTTGGTCCATTACCATATAATACCATACCACAATACCAGTGGTAAAAATCTGCCACCGTCACAGCCCTACAATTTACATGTTTTCATTCAATTTTTTAATTTGAGTGTTGATTATTATATAAAAATAATTAGTAATTAAATTTAAGTGTGGGCTCTGTTGTTAAATGTAACCTTATATTAGTAATGTAAAAGGGCTCCCTATAGTTTAGAGCAGAATCTGAGGTAGATTTTTATCCCTAAGAAATTGTAATTAAAAGTATTTAAAGAAAGAGCCATTTGTTCAGTAAACCACTGTTTAATATTAAAAAAGCTATTTTATGTTTAGTTTTTTCCCCCTGCTGTACAGAAACCATACCGAACCATGACATCAAAACCGAGGTACGTACCGAACCGTCATTTTTGTGTACCGTTACACCCGTTACAGAAAACTTAACAAAAGCAAGAAAGAGTTGATTTGTGAGGAGAACAATTATGTTTATTTTCTAAAACCAAAATAAAACTGAGCACCTCAAAATAGCAAAAAAACAACAATATCCTTCAAAAAGGATAGATAAAATAATGTTAAGTCAAATTAAAAAGCCAAAGCCTTCTTTCAGTGGATGTGCTGGTTTGAGCCTCATTGCCGGCTGCAGTCATGTCCTCATCTCATATGTGACCCTGGAGCACAAAACCAGTCTTAAGTCGCTGGGGTATATTTGTTCACAAATACTTAAGGAACTCGCATTCACATAAAGTAGCCTTGTTGACAAGTTTGGGTAAGTAAGGACAAAACTCATAAGATCTAGGACTATCGATGCCCTGTAGTAGGCAATATCACGTCTTTTGTAGCAGAAATATACTGCTGCAGAAAAAGCTAGGTCCATGCAAAATGTAATGTGTAACTGCAACACTCATTTCAAATGTAGTGGAGTAAAGAGTACAGAAACTCATTCAAAAATGAAGTGAAGTAGAGAGTAAAAGTTGCTAATATCTTTGATACTCAGTAAAACTACAAAGTAGGGCTGAGCAATAATTCAATATCAATATGTATCGCGATATAATTTTTTTCAATAACGGTCATCAGATTTTTAAACACATTTCCGATATTTCGATATACATTACCAGTGTTTTCCATACACTGATTTATTTGCGGCGACTTCGTTGAATAAACATGAGCACTGCACGTTTCAAAATCAAAATGTGGCACCGGTGTTTTATATGAATGTATCTCTGAAGGGAACCGACTGTCTTCAGAAAAGTTTCGATGACATTATCTGATAAAGTAGTGTACATGAGCGGAGCTGCTTTGATTACAGTCATTACTGGGGAAGCCGCTGTTTCTGCCGCACTCAAAGCGCCTCCTGCTGGCAGAGAATCAGTTTGCATTTTCAATAAGCCCGTCTACAGCAACAACAGTTTTTGTTGTTGCTTTTTTTTTTTTTTGGTTTTCTGCAGAAACTCAGAGCACTTTTCATACTCTTTATCCTGGCTGAAGCACATTTGTTTCAATCTATAAGAATAATCAGCCTACACTACCAGTCAAAAGTTTTTGAACAGTAAGATTTTTTATGTTTTTTTTTTGTTTTTTTAAGAATTCTCTTCTGCTCACAAAGCCTACATTTATTTGATCCAAAGTACAGCAAAAACAGAAAAAAATTGAAATATTTTACTATTCTATTATTACTGCTTTCTATTTGAATATATTTTAAAATGTAATTTAATCCTGTGATCAAAGTTAAATTTTCAGCATCATTACTCCATTCTTCAGTGTCACATGATCCAGAAATCAATTTAATATGCTGATTTGCTGATTATCAATATTTAAACAGTTGAGTACATTTCTTTTCACGATTCTTTGATGAATAGAAATATCCAAAGATCAGCATTTATCTGAAATAAAAAGCTTTTGTAACATTATACACTATTCCATTCAAAAGCTTTGAGTCAGTATGATTTCTTTTTTTTTTCTTTTTTTTGGGGGGAAAGAAATTATAGAAATTAATACTTTTATTTAGCAAGGATGCTTAAAATTGATCAAAAGTGATGATAAAGACATTTATAATGTTACAAAAGATTTCTATTTCAGATAAATAGTGTTCATATCGATATCGGAATTATATCGTATCGACCGAAATTAAGAAATATATCGTGATATCAATTTTGGCCATATCGTCCAGCCCTAACCTGTCTAGGTCAGTTCAAGACAGGGCGCCGAGTACATGTAGGCTTGTGTCTCAGGCTGTTGGGTCTGATGGCGGCGGCGTCCCCTGTAG